CCAGCCCCAGCCCCAGCGCAGCCGAGCCGGGAGGCGACTTTTCCCACCCGTTTCGGTGGGAGCAGAAGGGCGCCCGGGGGTGCTGCTGGGGGCGGCTACGAGGAAGGCACACCACGCCGAAACCCCGGGCTTCCTGGGGCGCTTTCGAGCCTCGTCTCACTTCTTGCTGGGAACGTGTGGATTATTGCCATAATTCTTCCAGTTTGGCAAGCCTGCATTAGACTGGAACGTATCTCTAGGTGGTAATACGGCCAGTCAATAGCTTTCGTAATTAATCAAGCACTAATAGACAAATTAGAAATTGTGTCTCTTCAAAGCAGGAGGTAGAGGCAAATCACTGGTGGATTTTAACTGTTTCACTGCTTCATTTTATGTCCTGCTTTTACATTGCTCCTTGGAAAATGTTAGGCTGCTGGGGATTAGGGAAGTTATGTACATAAACATTATTCTAAATTTAAATTATTGTCTTGATTACCAAACGCGGATGGTGAATTGAAAACTTGTTTTTCAGAAAAGCAAATGAAGAATAATATTACATTTTACACTCCACTAAATCAATGTAGCCCTAATTTTGCCATGCAGGAAATCAATTCAAGTCTTTATAACAGTCGAAGATGTTATGAACAAAGTAATTTTGCAAATTATGGCAAGTAACACATTTATTGATGACTGTAGTTTAGGAATTTAGAATTTGTGAGCACTGTAATGTAATAAGGCTGTACTGGCAGGAGCTGAGTGAAATACCGATTATATGGTGAAACGGTAATGCATCATTTGCTATTAGTGGACTGGTAATAATTACCAGTTTCAAAGCAGCTTTTTCCATGTAATCTTTAGTCTCAGTCGTAACAGCCCTTCTCATTGACATTATGATTACACTAGCTGCCCTTACGATCTCGAATATCTGGTTGATGGGAATACTAAAATGTGATAGTGAACACTGGAAGTTGTAGCCTCATTATAAGATAAAATGCTATTTTCTCTGACCTAATATATAAAATAGAGCAGCAAGGTAGCATTACATTGTTAGCATACTGCAGCCTGATCACGTAGCCTGTAGCATGTTGTTAAAAACTTCCACTTCATTACAGCAAAGGAAGATGAAATTTTCGCATTTAAGATTTTTCGAGCACACAAACGAGCATAGGAATGAGAAAGTCCAGTTGAATTTTGCTCTGTTTTCAACAGATTGGAGTATTTATCTCACATACTAAACACAGCAATGGATTTGATTCAGATGCTGGCTTCAGTTGAAGAATGAAAGGTTAAATATTATTCCAAGAGCTTTCAAAGTGACTAAAGTGTTAAATGCCGGCTATAGGTGGTTGAATCTCTTTTTACTCACCCAATTCAGATTGTCAGCCCGAATGTGTAGAAATAGGAGGGACCTGGAGGCACAGAGGAAAGCTGCGGTGGGTCGCTATAGCCGGCGCTATGGGCTGCCTGTCTGTCATATTCCCAAATCATTATTCAGCTCATTGTATGGTGAAAATACCCATACGAAGCTTTTCTTTTTCTTCTTTCAAGTGAGATGGAAAACAAGGCGGTTGCAGACAAAATGATGTTTTCTTTCCAAATCTGCCTTGGTTTTTTTTTTCTTTCTGTTTTTTTCCCCCCTCTTTCCTTCACGTTAGGCAAATATTTGAATCCTAATTTGGGCAGCTACCACTTAATCTTGTAACGAGATTTACCTGTGAGTGGTTTATAGGGGGTGAGATTATAAATGCATCGTAAAGTAAATTACGGATCAGACCAGGAGCGCGTTGTGCAGTCAGATACCACTGTAAGCTTTGCTTGTTTTGGAAGACTGGCACAGTCAGGAGCTTTTCTTTTTTTTTTTTTTTTAAGTCACTAGCTAGCAACTCTGCAAGAACTGCTAGGCAAGACTGGAAGTAAATTTCTGTGCTCGTCGTAGCTCTAATTCCAATTTACCAACATTTAGCAAAAAATGTGTACCGGGTTAAAGTGAATTCTTTGCAAAATTACAGTAATCAATAAAAATGCATTCACCTTTGCCATGTTTCATGCTACTCTTTGCTTGTGCGCAGCCCTCCAAAAGTTATTCATTTCCCTCGTTTTGCAATATATTAGAAGGGACTGCTTTCTTCTGTCATTATTAGCCGGCTTTTTGTTTAGTTATTTATTAGTCCGTTGCTCTTTTATAATGCCCGTGTTATCTCTGAAAATAAATTATCATGAAATAGAGTTAGCCCGCTACTTGCCAAAGTGGCGTTTACCATCCTCGGATCCTTTTCAGCGCGAGAGAAATAATGTGACTCGGGCAGGGCGTTGGGCCAGGCCGCTTGGCCCCGCTCCAGATGTTTGGCGAGCTGGACTGCATCTTTCCCTTTCTTTCTCTCTGTCTGTCTGTCTGTCTCTTGTCTCTCTGTCCTTTTTTATTTTTTTATTTTTTTAATTTATTTTTTGTCCCCTTTCCCTGACGCTTGAAGTTGAATCTCTGCTAGGGGCGTGAGAGGTTGTCTCGCTTTGTACGCGTTGGGAGTCTGGCGGAGCGACGAGGGCGCTCATCAGAGGCCGGGTCCCGGCTTGCTGGCGGGCGTTACGCTTCGGGTTGCTGCTCTGAACCGACGTGGGTGTTTTTCTCGACCGCTTCGCGGGAGGACTCTGTTTAGCTTTCCTTTCGCTTTGCGTGTGTTAGCAGGTGCTTGCAGCCTAAAAACTGTTGAGTCATGGCTAGGATTAATTGGCTTAATCGTCTTTTTTATTGTGTTTTTTACTGCGGTTACCTGTTCAGGTTGAGTTTTGAACCTAGGGGGAGAAAGGAAGGCAGGAAGCCGGCGCGCTTCGGCTACGGTTAAGCGTCTCAGCCGCCCTCCCTCCCCCGTAATTACACATTAGCTGGGATTTCCGTTTTCCCCTTTAGACTGGATGTTACGGAAAGGAAAGATTAGGTGGGAAAAAAAGCTGTCAATCGTTGATAAGCAATTCGGTGATTAAACATTCATGTTGCTGTTGTATTATTTTGCAGGTAAAGATGAGCCCAGCAGCTACACGTGTACAACTTGTAAACAGCCTTTCAACAGCGCCTGGTTTCTCTTGCAACACGCACAGAACACGCACGGACTAAGGATCTACTTAGAAAGCGAGCACGGCAGCCCCCTGACGCCACGGGTTGGTATCCCATCAGGACTAGGTGCAGAGTGCCCTTCCCAGCCACCTCTCCATGGGATTCACATTGCAGACAATAACCCTTTTAACCTGCTCAGAATACCCGGCTCCGTCTCGCGAGAGGCGTCGGGCCTGGGCGAAGGGCGCTTCCCACCCACGCCTCCCCTCTTTAGCCCTCCCCCAAGGCACCATTTGGATCCGCATCGCATAGAGCGCCTGGGTGCGGAAGAAATGGCTCTGGCCACCCATCACCCTAGTGCCTTTGACAGGGTGCTGCGACTGAACCCCATGGCGATGGAGCCGCCGGCTATGGATTTCTCCCGGCGCCTGCGGGAGCTGGCCGGCAACACCTCCAGCCCGCCCTTGTCCCCGAGCCGGCCCAGCCCTATGCAAAGGCTGCTGCAGCCCTTCCAGCCGGGCAGCAAGCCCCCGTTCCTGGCCACGCCGCCCCTTCCTCCCCTCCAGTCCGCGCCTCCTCCTTCCCAGCCGCCGATCAAGTCCAAGTCGTGCGAGTTCTGCGGGAAAACCTTCAAGTTTCAGAGTAACCTAGTCGTGCACCGCCGAAGCCACACTGGAGAGAAGCCCTACAAGTGCAACCTCTGCGACCACGCGTGCACGCAGGCCAGCAAGCTGAAGCGCCACATGAAGACCCACATGCACAAGTCGTCTCCCATGACGGTCAAGTCAGACGACGGGCTCTCCACGGCCAGCTCCCCGGAGCCCGGGACCAGCGACCTCGTCGGCAGCGCCAGCAGCGCCCTCAAATCTGTCGTGGCCAAGTTCAAGAGCGAGAACGATCCCAACATGATCCCGGAGAACGGGGACGAGGAAGAGGAGGAGGAGGAGGAGGAGGAGGAGGAGGAAGAGGAAGAAGAGGAGGAGGACTTGAATGAGAACGAGAGGCCGGACTACGGCTTCGGGATGAACCTGGAGGCGGCCCGTCACCACGAGAACAACTCCCGGCCCGGCGAGGAGAGCCGGTCGATGCCGGACGTCATGCAAGGTATGGTCCTGAGCTCCATGCAGCACTTCAGCGAGGCCTTCCACCAGGTCCTCGGGGAGAAGCATAAACGAGGGCACCTCTCCGAGTCCGAGGTACACAGAGACACTTGCGACGAAGACTCGGTGGCCGGCGAGTCCGATCGCATTGACGATGGCGCGGTGAACGGCCGGGGCTGCTCCCCGGGGGAGTCCGCCTCCGGAGGCCTGTCCAAAAAGCTGCTGCTGGGTAGCCCCAGCTCCCTGAGCCCTTTCTCGAAACGCATTAAGCTCGAGAAGGAGTTTGACCTGCCCGCCGCGGCCATGCCCAACACCGAAAACGTTTACTCCCAGTGGCTGGCCGGGTACGCTGCCTCGCGGCAGCTGAAGGACCCGTTCCTCAGCTTCGGCGACTCCAGACAATCGCCTTTCGCCTCCTCCTCCGAGCACTCGTCGGAGAACGGCAGCTTGCGCGGGGAGGCGGGAGGGAGGGACCCCGGGCCGCAGCGGCACGGGAAGCGGAGGGAGCACCCCACATATTAGTGGCCCGGGCCCTGGAAGGCCCAGCTCAAAAGAGGGCAGACGCAGCGACACTTGTGAGTACTGTGGGAAAGTCTTCAAGAACTGTAGTAATCTCACTGTCCACAGAAGGAGCCACACAGGCGAGAGGCCCTATAAGTGTGAGCTCTGCAACTACGCCTGCGCCCAGAGTAGCAAACTCACCCGGCACATGAAAACCCATGGGCAGGTGGGAAAGGACGTTTACAAATGTGAAATTTGTAAGATGCCTTTTAGCGTGTACAGTACCCTGGAGAAACACATGAAAAAATGGCACAGTGATCGAGTCTTGAATAACGATATAAAAACTGAATAGAGGTATATTAATACGCCCCCCCTCCCCGCCCTGGTTCCCGGTAGAGATTTTCTAGTCCCTTGTGATTAAAATAATGGAAGCTAAGGATATTAAGAAAGTGCTTGTCACCAGCACACCTGTTTATTTTCTTTTTGTTCTCACCGTTTGAATGCATGATCTGTATCGGGGCAATACTATTGCATTTTACGCAAACTTTGAGCCTTTCTCTTGTGCAATAATTTACATGTTGTGTATGTTGTTTTTTTTATTTTGAATTAGACAGCATGTATGGTATGTTATGGCTATTTTTAAATTGTCCCTGATTAGTTGCTGAGCAAACACGTTGCTGTTTCCAGTTCCGTTCTGAAAACGAAAAAAAAAAAAAGAGAAAAAGATAAAGAAAAAAACAAAACAGAGCAAAAACAAAAGCAAACAAAACCGACCATGCTGCATACATCCTGTAATACATATCATGTACAGTTTTGTTTTGTAACGTGCGAAGGAAAACCATGCTTTGGGTGACCCTCTACGGACAGGACTGATAGCACTGAAGAAACATGGCGTTAGCTAGATTTCTGTCTTTAAAGAGTAAACGTATCAATTGGACAAACGATGCCAATCAGAAAAGGCCTTTAATTGAAAACTCTCAAACCGCCACCAGTAACAAAAGGGTACCGTTCTGTTATCGTTTGGTACAAAAACAAAAAGTCTGAGTGCCTTGGATCTACTAAAAACAATGTTGACGGCTCCTTCCTACTCGTTCTGAACTTGTAGCTTATTTCAACGTTGGTTCAAATTATGAGCCTTTACGACCTAGCCTATGAGTCTATATTGTGTTTCTTACAACAACGGCTACCTAAGGATAAAGAGGAAAACAAAAGAAAAAAAAAAAAAGGGAAGAGAAAGAAACGACCCAATAAGTCCTAGTTAATCATCATTCTCCCCTTAGTTTCTATTTTTTAGACAAAACTGATCATACCAGTATAAAAGCTACTTTGCTCCTGGAGAGAGCTTAAAAGAAATAGGATCTTTTCCCCCCGA